AAATGATAAAATAAATTCTTACCAATGTTTTTGTTATATCAAGTTGATATGATTTTGTTTTATTCCTGAGATAAATCCTGCTTTGTAAGAAAACAGACACTTTGGCCTATTTTTTTTTTTTTTGGTTACAGTGTTAATCTTCTTCCATAAGTTAGGCCGAATTAACCCGACTGGTCCCAACGTGTACTTTCCCAATTTCTCACTGCTCAGCGTAGAGGCAGATAATTTTTTGGTGAAATACGGGACACGTCTCGACATAAGTCAAGCATAAATGTACTTGCGGTTTTTTCTCTCTTTTGAAAACTGTTACTTTTGTAAATTGTAGTGGTAAAGGAACCTCAACCACTGACTTTTTACTTTTTAAACATGATTTTAAAGAGAATGTGGTCTGTATGGAAACAATGGACAATGTGGCTACTAATGTATCTATCATTATCTGGTAAAAGCGAAAGTAAAATTTATCAACAATGCTAAAGAAAAATCAAAATGTTCAAATTCAAGAATTTTACCCATGTCAGGTAAAACTCCGTGGAATAAAATAGATAAAGACGCATATAAAACTTTAGTTGAAAATGGTTTGGATAATTTGTCATTATCTTTAGAAAATAAATATGAAGTGGATCTTGCTTTTCAAAATATGAACAGTTTACTCTTCAATTCGGTAAAAAGTTGTTGTCCAGTTCCACGAAAAAGATTTAGAAAACCGATATTAAAAGTAATGACCCAAGAAATTTCTGACGCAATTGTAATGAAAAAAAATGCTTTTTATTAATGGAAGATTAATGGGCGGTCTGAAGATCCCAGGAATGAACTTTATATCCAGAAAAAAGAGACAACTTATAATTTACGTAAACATTGTCGCAAGGCAGTTGCTATGAATAGAATCGATGAAGGAGAAAAGATAATGGAAGCAAATATTAAAAATAAAAATTCATTTTATAGACTTATTAAAAAACAGAGGGGAATATCAAGTAATCATATAGATGAACTATCTGTAGGTGACACAGTGTATAGTACAGAAGACAACATTCTAATTGGACGGAAACACCATTTTGAAAATTTAACGAATGAACATTTTGACAACAAGTATCAACAAAAGGTTGAACAAGAATATATTGATATAATTGACATTTGTAGAGGTATATGTTTCAACACCAAAGTATTACTGAAAATGTAATAGAAGAAGCTTTGAAGTTATTAAATTTAAATAAATCACCAGATATATTTGGAATTTCAACTGAAAATTTATTATATGGTGGACAATCTCTTATTTATCATCTTAAAGAACTTTTGGATAGTACTTTTAGACTTTGTTATATACCAGACGAAAAGAAATTAGGGATTGTAATTCCGCTTTTTAGGAATACGGAAAGCTGTAAAGACAGTAAAAATTATCGTGAAATAACAATTACTCCAACATTATCTAAACTCATTGAGGCTGTTTTAAAGATCAGAATTAATCCTGACATTATAAAATATCAAAATCCATTACAACGGGGTTCACTAGAAGAACAGCACCATTAAACTGCTCTTTTATTATAGAAGACTTTCATAAAGAATGTGTTGAGTTAAATGATCAAACAATAATTACTATGCTTGATGCAAAGTCAGCATTTGATGCAGTAAAACATGCAGGGCTTATAAGAAGATTATATCAAATGAAATTCCAGAACAATCTATTTTGATTATTGATAATTTATATAAAAATGCTGTTTCCTATGTAAAATGGAATAACCAAATATCAGACATTTTTAGAATAGAGCAAGGCGTAAGACAAGGTGGGACTCTTAGTGCAGACTTGTATAAAATCTATATAAATACACTTTTAGACATTTTAGCTGATTCAGGATATGGAGGGAAAATTGGATCAATTTCTTGTCGTGCTCCAACTTGCGCAGATGATTTAGCCATACTTAGCAATTGTCCGTATGAAACACAAATTTTAATTAATATGGCCTTTGATTTTAGTAAACGTGAGGCATATTTACTACAACCAGCAAAAAGTTGTGTTATACAGTCTAAGTCACGTCAACATGAGAAAGTTAATGAAAATTTTAGGCAATTCGATTCTTCCAACTTCTAATAAAGCAACACATATAGGAATTTGTCGTACAGACGATGATTCATGTAAAGCAACAATAGATGAGAATTTAAAGAAAGCAAGAAGAACACTTTATAGTTTAATGGGGGTTGGACTTTATGGACTTTATGGATTAGATCCACAAACCTTAATGTCAATTATGAATACTTATATAATACCAATAATGTTATATGGATTGGAAATAGTAATCCCAAGAGGAAGATGTTTAGAAACTTTAAATATCCAGTTTAAAAATGTTTGAAACAATTGTTATTTTTACCAAAAACAGTAGCTGATCCTCCTATATATATAATTTCCGGGATGTTACCTGTAAATGTTAAAATTTTTACTTTTTATGAAAATATTACTAGACAAGAAAAAAGTTCTATTGAATGGCAACTAGCGGAAAGGCAATTAAATGTAAAATCTATTAATAGTAAAAGTTGGTTTAGTTTACTGAGAAAAAAACTTTTGAAATTTGAATTGAATGATCATGGACAATATTTAGTCAATCCAATTTCTAAATATCAATGGAAAAGTGAAATAACTTCCAAAATTCATAAATTCTGGACTGAGAAGATAATGAATCAAGCAAAACTTTATACCAGTTTAAAATATTTATCATTGATATATACACCAGGACGTTGTCATCCTATTACTAATACAAACACTATGAATTCAAGAGAAATTATCAGAATTCCTACAAAATTGAAAATAGCTACTGGAAGTTACATTCTACAAGCAGTTAGAGCCAAGTTTATAAATAATTCAGAACTGTCTATATGTAAATTGTGTAATGAAACAAAAGAAACTTTACCACATTTTTTATTAACATGCAAAAGTCTAGAAGATACAAGAAAACCGATTTTGGAAGATTTAGTTAATTCCTGTAGTAAAGAGTTGGCTATTTTTGATATGAAAGATGAACAATTTGACATTTTACAACTGATTATAGATCCATTTGCTTACTTGACAATGTTTAGAAATGAAAAAGCTTTTAAAGTGAAAAAAAAACTTAATAGATCCAAAATGTAGACGATTATGTTATAATCTCCATTGTGAAAGGTATAGACTGTTGCAATTAGATGATATAAAGAAAAAGAAGAAAAAGTAGATACTTACTTTATATAAACTCTTAAGTGATTGATGGTTGTCTACTCTTAAACAGTGATATCTTTAGATAGATATTTTAAATTTTAAAGTATTTAAAGTGTTGGTGCAGCTTAAAATGACATTAAGCCTAATTTTAACGTCAAGAATATGGTGTAAATAGTGTACAGTGATATTGGTGGAAGAGATTTTTATTCATGATGTGAACTACAATACTCGAAAGAGGTGTGCCTTCATTGGCAGAATTTATATAACAGATACAGATACAGTTACCGCATCAGATAAATTGATGTAGCTAGTATACACCGTCGCACTTCATCGTAACAATCAACACCAACGTCCCAGTTAGACCATCGCACTTCAGCGTAGCTATCAACAAGTTAGCGTCACAATGTCACTATCACACTTCAACGTGTTAACCAACGTACTTCAGCGCGGACCATCGCACTTCAGCGTGACCATCGCGGTTCGGAGTACCATCGCGGTTCAGAGTCCTACATATACATATATATATGTATATAATTCGTCTCAAATTTAGCCCAACAATGTTAGATCTTCAAATTTGCAGTTTCTTCCCTCAGCGGGATTCTAAACGTTGCTTCTGTGACATCGTGGCAACACCGCCTAGACCGTGTTAAGCGCCCTACACCACTCGACCACCTTAATATAGGCTACATAAAAATATGGCTTTCGATGGTCGATGTAATGTTTTTCCTCGTCGGCTTTATCTAGGTTTGTTACACAGTACATGATGTATAGTGGCAAGAAAATGGTGTACTTTTCAGATCAGCTAGTTTGTCTGTCGTAAAGGATGATAATGTTGATTGCCATGCCGCCACATCAAATTGTAATTTTATCATACACGTCTAAACATGTGACAACTTTATGGCTGACATTCTCCATCGGATAACACGTGGTTATACAGGGATAACACCATAACATATATATAATTCGTCTCAAATTTAGCCCAACGATGATAGATCTTCAAATTTTCGTTAGCAACTTTTTGTTCTTCCCTCAGCGGGAATCGAACACTTGCTTCTGTGACATCGTGGCAACACCGCCTGCACTGTGTCCAGCGCCCTACACCACTCGACCACCTAGGCTACATATTAGATATAGCTTTTGGTGGTCGATGTAATGCCTTTCCTCGTCGGCTTTATCTAGGGTTGTAACATAGTACATGATGTATAGTGGTAAGTAGATGGTGTACGTTTCAGATCAGCTATTTCTTTTATATATTATATTATTTTATATAAATAGAAACATAGCGTCCATATACTTAAAATAGAAACAAGGTTTCAGGTACATGTAATACTATTTGAACCACGTGATCGAAATAAGCAATGAAAAAAAAGAATGCTGCACCATATGTAATATTGAGTAAACACTAAATACTGTCAATGTTCGCATAACTTACTGTCATGATTTTAATACGACGTAGGCAACATAATTGCTTACACGTTCTAGATTTATCAAGTTATTAACCTATCAAATTTAACACAATGCTTAAATCTGTTGCGGCAAAGCCAATATTAAGCTACGAGACTTTTATGTAGTATAAACATCATACTGACGTCCAGCAAATTAATATTTATACCGTCTACACGTGGTTTACGATAAGAAAGGTACACTTGTTAGTTACTGTTGTCCATTATTTTATTTTTCAAATAAAGAGACAAGCCATAAATGTTGTATATGACAGGTACATCGGTTAAATGCATTTAACACATCATCTGATCTTATTGAAGTTTTTGTTTATTATGGAAATTTGAGGTTTGATTAAGTTGATTTTTTTTAATATTCGTAGGAAATCCTTACCCATCATCAGAAAAATTTGGCCTCAGACTTATGATATTTCTTATCAGAAATTTTACCCAGATTGACATAGTAGATATTCTTCCAAAAGAAAGGAATGAGAGTATAGGTGCTGACTTATCCAGACTGAAGTATTATCGGAATAAAGTTATACATAACCATGGGAGTTTCTCTGAAAATGAATTTACTAGTTACTGGAATGATATCTGCCAGGTATGCATTATTTACAATTTGTACATGGTATGATTTCCACCTATCAAAAACACCGTAAGAAGTTTCGCCTTTTTTGTCACGATCGAACACATTCATTTCAGAATTTAAGGTGGAGTAATATATTTTCACCGTGTGATATTTTGCACTATTAAACGGATGTTAGTCTTAAACAGTCATTTTGATCTTAACAACATCTGAAAAGTCTGAACCTAAAAAACGTTAAGTCTTGTTAACAGTTTAAGTTAATTTTGTCTTTTTGCCGTGTTTCGTTTTTTGCCATGTGAATTTAAATATCCCTTTAGTATTTTTCGCCTCTCCTTTTTAGATAATTTCATGTTGTAAATTCAGTGACGTTCAGACGTTTGAGTTGCTGTTAATCTAATACTGTTCAGTAGCTTGTTAGAAAAATGCAGTATGTTATTGTTCTGTACAGGTAAAGGTAAATAGCAAAAAAGAACAGCCTGAATATAGACTGAACCGATCTTATTCGACTGCAAGCGAATTGCGTAAACATAACTGAATATACCAAAGTAGACCAATCTGAAAATTAACTTAAAGACTTAACATGACTTGATAATAAAAACCGTTTCCCTCGGTTTTAGTTTGTAACCCGAATTTGTTTTCTCTTAATCGATTTATGACTTCTGAACAGCGGCAAACTACTGTTGCCTTTATTATTCATAACATTTGATTGAGGCAAACTAAAGTTAGAGAACGGAATCTAATTTTGGGACGTACGTACGTACGGACAGATGGACAAGTGTGACACTTAATGTCCCCTCCGCCTCGGAGGGGACGTAATAAAGAAACGTAAATATAAACATTAACGGTTTCGTGAAAGTAAAGCGCACAGTATTACAGCAATTATAGAGGGTTATACCTGACTTTTATATGTAGGTATACTTGTATTATAAATAAAGTTAAATTACAGGTTGTCGTAAGGCTACGTAAAATTACAGAAGAGAACTCCCAAGATGCAATAGATGAAAACGATCCCTTGGCGAAGAAAATACTTGGTATGAAACCACTTGTTATTGGATTTTCATGTTGCCCAAATAAGCAAATAAAATTTAATGAATTTAAATTTCAGAAAATTGTTCTTAAAACTATTACAAAAAGGTATGAACAAAAAATAAAATAAAAAAAAACTTTTAAGTAAAATATTGAAAGTAACACACAATAAAGTTTAAAGTAATGTAAACATGTAAATTGATATATATATATTGGAAAATGTTGTTTGTGCTGTATTAAGACACCTCTACCAAGAAATTTGTTTTGCATGCACACGTATAAAATTTGCGGTTTTTATCCAACGCAATCATAGGTTTGAACGTTGTTTTCAATTTAGACTTTTTATATATATATTGCGTTGGATAAAAACCGCAATTTTTATACGTGTGCATGTAATACAAATTTCTTGGTAGAGGGGTCTAAATACAGCACAAACAACAATTTCCAAAAGAACATTTTAACAAAACGCATTTGACTAACAGGTCAAACAAATGATGTTCTTAAACCCTGCTGACTGCCATTGGCGATTGCCAAATAAATTGATCACCAGATCTAACAAATGGATCTTAATATTAATTTAATACCAAACAGAAAACAATAAACTTGTGGAAAAGATGGTATACAACACAAACATGAGGTGCAAAAATTTGTACACCATATCCGGATTTCGACAATTAATGTCTCTTCAGTGATGTTAGGGATCGAAACGGTATTTGGAAGGCCCTATAGTTTACCTCAATTTAGGATAGACTCTTGAATTTTAAAGAGTCGGAATAGGATGAACGGATCATATAAACCCAAAGGGGTCTAAATATAGCACAAACAACAATTTCCAAAAGAACAAAAAAGTGAAAAAGTCTATTTTACCAAAACGCATTTGACTAACAGGTCGAATATCTGATGTTCTTAAACCCTGCTGACTACCATTGGCGATTGCCAAATAAATTGATCACCAGATCTAACAAAAGGATCTTAATATTAATTTAATACCAAACAGAAAACAATAAACTTGTTCTTTTGGAAATTGTTGTTTGTGCTGTATTTAGACCCCTCTACCAAGAAATTTGTATTACATGCATACGTATACAAATTGCGGTTTTTATCCAACGCAATCATAGGTTTGAACGTTATTTTCAATTTAGACTTTTTATATTTTTTCGTTTGGGCTTGTATTATATTTTCCTTCGGGTTTATATGATACGTTCATCCTATTTCGACTCTTTAAAATTCAAGTGTCTATCCTAAATTGAGGTAAACTATAGGGCCTTCCAAATACCGTTTCGATCCCTAACATCACTGAAGAGACATTAATTGTCGAAATCCGGATATGGTGTACAAATATTTGCACCTCATGTTTGTGTTGTATACCATCTTTTCCACAAGTTTATTGTTTTTTGTTTGGTATTAAATTAATATTAAGATTCATTTGTTAGATCTGGTGATCAATTTATTTGGCAATCGCCAATGGCAGTCAGCAGGGTTTAAGAACATCAGTTGTTCGACCTTTTAGTCAAATGCGTTTTGTTAAAATAGACTTTTTCGTTCTTTTGGAAATTGTTGTTTCTGCTGTATATATATATATATATATAAACATCTTGTTTAATCATGATAATATACATATTTTGCCCTCATTATTGTCAAGAATTTACTATAAAAATAAAGGGGTGTGGTATGATTTTAAAAAGAAAAAAGGCTATTGCCCATAAACAAAAGGCAAAAAAATATGTGACTGATTATGACATGTCACTGCATGGCATATGACAATGAACAAAAACCTATATCGTATAATAAGTTATAAAATAGTAAGCTATAGAAAGACCCCTATGCGATAAGTAGAACAATTCAAAAGGGAAAATCAACGACCAGATTTATACTACAACAATAAACGAAAATCAAATATGACAGTCGGCAACAAGCGAACACTAGATAACAGGTTTTTGGATAAGGACAGGCACATACATACTGTGATGCAGTCTAACATGTCTGTGAACCATAAACGCTCCCTACGATGGTGGTGTAACAACACAACATCAGAACAAGTAGTGAATGGGTTACTCATTTAATCGTAATAATACCAGCAGACTAAACTCACTAGTTTTATTTTATGACAACTGATTGAAATGCGCATCAAACGGAACTACTTCGCAATTTGAATTCTAAAAACTATATCGTATAATTTTCATTTTGATTACTAGTAGTTTTGATTGGATAGTTTGACATATTTAATAATGAAATATCAATATTGTGTTTGAAAACATGCGGACAGGAACTTGTATTTGATGAACAGAAATATCTGTTAACTGGTACTGCTTATAAATTACCAGAGAAATGTATGTGTTCAAATCTTTAAATACACTAGTGCTGCCTCCTAATTACTAACACTGTTAATTTGTAACAGTTGTTACATCCCGAGAAGTGAACAGTATTGAAATAAGGAGATGAGTTTGCCAATCAAACAACTCTCCACCAGAGATCAAACGAAGTGAATGGAAGCAATAATAGGCTACCAAACGACCTCAACAATAAAAACAAATCCATACCGTTTAAAAGTCCCCGACATGACAAATATGAAACAATTCAAACGGAAAAAAAAAATAAAGGGCCTAATTCCTAACAATACAATTTACGAAAAACAAATATGACAGACATGAAACAACGTCAACTACTGAACTACAGGCTCTTGACTTTGGACAAGCACATAAAGAATGTGACTTTGTTAAACATGTTTGTGATTCATCAACCCTCCCCTAACATGTAACAGTGGTCACACAAAATAAGAACAAACTGTAAAACTCAGTTGCAATTAGCTTAACTCAAAAGATCGGTACCATTTACAAAAATAACTAAAATAAAAACAATATACGCAATGCACCGAAATATTAAGTTACTGAAAGCTAGTTCCAAGCCAATTATGACCAATAAATAATTTAATGCTCTATGACCGATCAACTACATGTAGTCATTGTCAATAAACAAATGGAAAATACTCCAATAATAACAAAACGGATAGCTATATATATCCCGGTGTCTGTCTAATATAGGTTATGAAAAAACAATTATATTTATTATAAAGATCAACATGACGGTTCCACTAGTCCTGCTGGAGATCTTAAGATCACCCTCAGTTTTGGTGGGGTTTGTGTTGCTCAGTCTTTGTTTTCTCCTTAGTGTTATGTGACTTTTCATCGTCTTTCAGTTTTTGTCGTGGTGATGGCAGTTTTTCTTCGACTTATGAGTTTTGAATGTCCCTTTGGTATCTTCCGCCTCTTTTTGAGACACAGGGTTGCAGCCAATTAAATGGAGATAGCATGACATTAACAATTAAGAGTAAATGTGTGGCTTATATTGATTGGTCGTTGTGTGCACCCAATATTTATATACCTAGACACCTCGTGGACTCTTCCATATACCAAATGATGAATGGTATATTTTCCATTGCCCTAAAGGAAATAAGAAGTATTTTTATACGACCGCAAAAAAATTTTTCGGTCGTATATTGGTATGACGTTGGCGTCGTCTCGTCGTTGTCGTCGTCGTCGTCCGAAGACAGATTGGTTTTCGCACTCTAACTTTAGTTTAAGTGAATGGATCTCTATGAAATTTTTACCATAAGGTTCAATACCACAAAAGGAAGGTCGGGATTGATTTTGGGGGTTATGGTACCAACAGTTAAGGAATTAGAGGTTAAAAAGGGGGAAAAAAAAGCATTTTTGTAACTTCCAGACATAACTTGTGTGTTAGTGTATGGATCTCTCTGACATTGTACCAAAAGGTTCCATATCACAAAGGGAATGCTGGGATTGATTTTTGGGGGTAATTGCCTCAAAATTTTAGGAATTGGGGGCAAAAAAAGGGGCAAAAAACAAGCATTTTTCTAGTTTCATGACAATAACTTGTGTGTAAGTGTATGGATCTTTCTGAAATTGTACTACAAGGTTCCATATAACAAAGGAAAAGCTGGAATTGAGTTTGGGGGTAATTGCCCAAAACGATTAGGAGTAAGGGGCCAAAAATAAGCATTTTTCTAGTTTCCAGACAACAACTTGTGTTCAAGTGTATGGATCTCTCTGAAATTGTACTGCAAGGTACCATACCATAAAGGGAAGGCTGGAATTGATTTTTGGGGTAATTGCCTCAAAATTTTAGGACAAAGGGGCAAAAAACAAGCATTTTTCTAGTTTCAGGACAATAACTTGTGTGTTAGTGTATGGATCTTCATGAAATTGTACTACAAGGTTCCATATCACAAAAGGAAAGCTGGGTTTGAGTTTTGGGGTAATTGCCCTAAACGTTTAGGAATTTGGGGCCAAAAAGGGCCAAAAACAAGCATTGTTCTAGTTTCCAGACAATAACTTGTGTTCAAGTGTATGGATCTCTCTGAAATTGTACTACAAGGTACCATACCACAAAGGGAAGGCTGGGATTGAGTTTGGGGGTGATGAATCATAAGGGGGTTCAAAAAATTTGGGGGGGATTTTTTTTTCATTTTTTTCCTTTTTTTTTTCTTTAAAATTTTCCATTTTAAATTGGTTATTTCTGATTTATATATAAAAGCAAATAATAATGATATGGTTTGAATTGGTAAATTAAAAACATTTAAGTTCTTAGACCACATTCATTCTGTGTCAGAAACCTATGCTGTGTCAAATATTTAATCACAATCCAAATTCAGTGCTGTATCAAGCTTGAATGTTGTGTCCATACTTTCCCCACTGTTCAGAGTTCGACCTCTGCGGTCGCATCAAGCTGCACCCAGCGGAGCATTTTATTCTAGTCTGTGATGAGACATGCTTTTTAAAATGAAGAATATTTGGATCAGTGGTTGTTCTTTCGTTCTAACAAGATTTCGTCCTACAGTTCAACTTTCTAAAGTCTTTATCCAGAAAATTTTACTATTGTCACCAATAGGGACAAAATTATAGTTTGTAATATTTATACTTTGTGTTTTAAAAAATCAAATATCATGTGACGTGGTATTACCTTGTTCTAAATAATATATATGTTTATATATGTGTTACTTAATACTTAATGATATTAACCTTTTCAAGTACAGAAATGATATCGGCCTTCTTGATATACTGGTCAACAAGTATGTCTACATAAAGGTCACTAGATAAATATTTTTCTCATAGCATATCGTTTCACAAATATGCATAGTGAAAAATAAAATCACAAAATATCATACAACAATGTTGAAATACAGCAAATAGTTTCATTGTTGGATACACACAGCGGTTTCTCGTCTTGTCATAATGCTAGTGATTTTCTTTGATGAGTCTTTTGTAGACAAAACACGCGTCTAGCGTAAAAAGTTACAAACCTAGGATCTTTTATGAGTTTATTTTTGTTACACTGTTTGAGATTCAATTTCTTACATTTAATTACAGGACATTTATTGTATTAAAGATGAATTAATTAATGACCTTTACCGTGACCTATAGTTATTTGGTCTCTAGTGTAGATTTGTTTCTCATTTGAATTGTTTTACATTTGTCAGATCGGGCGGGGCCTTTGATAGCTTACTATGCAGGTTGGATTTCTGTCAGTGTTATTAAGACCGCACGGTGCTTATAGTTGCTTTCTTCTACGTCATTTTGTCTCAGGTGATGAGTTGTCTCATTGGCAATCATATCACATTTTTATATATATTTATTCCGATAAACCGCTGTAAATACAATTGTATACAGAAAACATAAATTTTATACAAACCTTTTTTAAGGTACATATGTTGGGCAAATAAACACTAAATACACTATAATATATACGAAGAAGTCTATCGTCCTTGATTAAAAACAATTCACCTGTATTTTTCAGCATCAATAGTCAAAGATTCTGAAGTAGGAAGAAACAGGTATTTTAAGTTTTGTTAAGAAATTTAACGGTTTACACTGTGTTTCCATTCACGAAATATTAGAGATATGAGTATGCACGGAAAATGTTAAAGGTTTTGGCCGAAACAGCAACAATGTTCAATGCTTTATAAAACAAATGATATACATAGTAGCAGCTAATGGCGCACATTAGACTCTGGTAGAATGTATGATTTCTGTGGGTTGTTTTTAGGGAAAACGAGGTGTTTTAGGGAGAGAGTATGGGGACGTTGTTATAAGTTAAATTAATTGACTACGTAAGTGAACTTACGTATAGCTAATATATATCGGTTGAATAGTCTGGTTGTATTTTAGTCAAAAGCATTAATTCTGAATTATGTACATGAAGCTGAATGAAATAAGAATTTACAATGAGTAATTAAAAATTATAATCAGCACCTTCAAAAAAGAAAACAGTTGTAACAAACATGTGATTGTTTTTTCTAATTTATTGTATCTTAATTGAAACTAAATTAGTACTGTTATTTAGTAGTATTTATTTTACTTTCATTTCAAAATAAATCAATTGAACAAACGTGATTCAAACCTATAACTATTGTCAAACTACCATCCCCCAATATTTGCTATTTCGAAATCTAAAAAGCAAATATTTTATAACGAACAAAACTTGTATTGAGGTCAGAGGTAAAACATATTTGGTTACTTCTTAAATTAAGTAGTTTTGCAATTTTGTAGGGGTTTTTTTTGTGAAGGAAGTTTGAAGTGTGCAAATAAATGTGAATGAAAAAATCCGTAATGATACACGTATTGATATTACTATCTGATAGAATAATGTAGTGTTAACATCTGAAGGATAAACTATTTCAAATTTCTTGTCGTTTTTGATTTTTGGGTTGAAGGATTCAAAAACGACCTTATTCTCCTTCTTTTTATTAAGTAAGTAAATGCAGAAATAAACCCAGATAACAGATAAAATAGACCACTATTGTGACCTAAGTAGCAATAAAATGTATTCACCTTTCTCTTATTTTGACATGCTCGCATCAAATGCGGTGGGTCAATGATTCCATCTGTGGCTGCGTCATATCAATCACTCTAGTATAAGTATTTCTTTCTTTTCCGCAAAGCACATTGCACAAAGGCGTAGATTGGGTAGGGTGACATGTCTTTCTGCGAGTGTTATCTTATATGATATGACGTTAAAACTAATTCAGCGTGTCGGTCTAGTACAAACAAGGAAATATAGATGTAATATAAGCCACATAAAGCTAAGCAGTCATCTAACAGACATATACACATATAACTGATGAACGTATAGCCAAATTAATTATAAACTCATAGAAAAATGTGGATGTATCTTATATTTATTAAAAAATTTGTATAAACCACATTTCCAACATACTTGTACTAGGACAGTCTCTGGAATTTTAAGCGACTTTCATTCAAGTGAGAGGTTTAGCTAGCTATAAAACCAGGTTTAATCCAGCATTTTCTACATAAGGAAATGTCTGTACCAAGTCAGGAATATGACAGTTGTTTTCCATTCGTTTGATGTGTTTGAGCTTTTGATTTTGCCATTTGATAAGGGACTTTCCGATTTGAATTTTCCTTGGAGTTCGGTATTTTTGTTAATTTACTTTTTTTCAAAAAGATTGTGTACGTTCAACTCTTATTTACATGTACACTATTTTGGTCCTTTTATTTCGAAATAAAAAAGTATGAAAAAATATCGAATATTTATATTTATGTTATCATAAAGTTAATCTGTCTGATGTCAGTATTGATATATTTATTTATTTGTCTCGATATTTGCCTTACGTCTTCACAATACATTTAAGGAAAATAATCAAAACAGCTTCATTTTGAGATATTGTCATTAATATATAAACATGATAGATATTCAATTCTTTTTTTACTTGTAGGTACTCACATGTATCAAATACATTCATCCATAAATATAAAACAAAAGCCCAAAACAATCCTTCAAGCCATTGTTCCACTACTAAATTGTCTATTCTTCTTACCAGTACACTTGGTACAATCAAAAACCTGATAATAAATTGTTCAAATAAGGCCTTCGAAAATAGTGGAATTAATTACTTTTGGAGTGTCAAGAACTCGTTGGAAGTACTTGATAAATTGCATGCATATATTGGTGATTTTGAATCTGTTCAAAGTTTTGATTTTTCTACCCTATATACCACATTGCCTCACATTCTCATTAAGAAAAAATTCACACACCTAATTAAATGGGCATTTAAAAAGTCAGAATGTGAATATATATGTTCAAACTCTTTTAGGTCATTTTTTAGTAGCAATAAACAAAAAAACTATGTCAATTGGACATGCTTTGATACTATATATGCCCTTGAATTTTTACTAGATAACATTTTTGTTCGCTTTGGAGATTCCGTATATCGTCAGGTTATCGGAATTCCAATGGGGACTAACTGTGCACCACTTATTGCGGACCTTTTTTTGTATTGCTATGAGTTACAATTTATGACAAAAATCAGTAAAGACCCATCGAAACAACATCTGATACACAAATTTAATAATACTTTTAGATATTTGGATGATATTTTGGCTCTCAATAATGACGACTTCAGTGTGTATACTAAAGAAATTTATCCTGTTGAACTTACTTTAAATAAAGCTAATACTAACAATGACCACTGCCCTTTCCTCGATCTTGATATCTATATCATTAACGGAAAGCTTAATACTAAAATATATGATAAAAGAGATGATTTTTCATTTCCTATCGTTAATTATCCATTTTTAGATGGTGACGTTCCCTTGTCACCATCTTACGGTGTTTATATATCTCAACTTGTACGATTCGCTCGTGTATGTAACAATGTTTTAGATTTTAACGAGAGAAATGTATGTATTACTGAAAAATTATTACACCAGGGTTTTCGATATCACAAACTAGTCAAAACATTTACTAAATTTTATCATCGGTATAAGGACATCATTCGTAAATATAGCTCAACATGCAGACTTCTTATACGTTCAGGTATTTCACATCCAATTTTTTATGGAAATATTCTTTATAAAGCACAAAAATGTCAGTATTCACCTCTGAAACTAACAAAACCTTTAAATAGACTTATTAAGAAGGGATATAGTTACGATACTGTTGTCAGGTCATTAAAGATTGCATATTTTGGCGTTGATATTGATTCACTTATAGGGTCTTTGCATCTGCACTAAACACATTTATTTAAAAACCAGTTGTTGGCATGACACGGGTTATGTTCTTCTCATATATGTTATGATGGTATGATACTAAACCCCTAACGGGAAGGATTGTGCCTGATATTCATATGATGAAGACATAATCTTTCAATCAGTTTAATTGAAGTCTGGAGCTGGCATGTCAGTTAACTGCTAGTAGTCTGTTGTTATTTATGTATTATTGTCATTTTGTTTATTTTCTTTGGTTACATCTTCTGACATCAGACTCGGACTTCTCTTGAACTGAATTTTAATGTGCGTATTGTTATGCGTTTACTTTTCTACATTGGCTAGAGGTATAGGGGGAGGGTTGAGATCTCATAAACATGTTTAACCCCGCCGCATTTTTGCGCCTGTCCCAAGTCAGGAGCCTCTAGCCTTTGTTAGTCTTGTATTATTTTTAATTTTAGTTTCTTGTGTACAATTTGGAGTTTAGTATGGCGTTCATTATCACTGAACTAGTATATATATTTGTTTAGGGGCCAGCTGAAGGACGCCTCCGGGTGCGGGAATTTCTCGCTGCATTGAAGACCTGTTGGTGGCCTTCTGCTGTTGTCTGTTCTGTGGTCGGGTTGTTGTCTCTTTGACACATTCCCCATTTCCATTCTCAATTTTATAATCTTTAACAAATTAGAAACAATCATTTTATGAATCTTAGTACTCGATATATATATATATATATATGTGAAAATCTTGTTTGTGCTGTATTTAGACCCCTCTAACAAGAAATTTGTTTTGCATGCACACGTATAAAAATTGCAGTTTTTTTCCAACTCAATCATAGGTTTGAACGTTGTTTTCAATTTAGACTTGTTTATATTTTTTCTTTTGGGCTTGTATTATATTTGCCTTCGGGTTTATATGATCCGTTCATCCTATGTTGACTCCTCAAAATTCAAGAGTCTATCCTAAATTGAAGTAAATTGTATGGCTTTCCAAATACCGTTTCGATTCCTAACATCAATGAAGAGACATTAATTGTTGATGTTCTTAAACCCTTCTGGCTGCCATGGCGATTGCTAAATAAACGGATCACCAGATGTAACAAAATGGATCTTATTATTTATTTATTGCCAAACAGAAAACAATAAACTTGGGGAAAAGATGGTATACCGCAAACATGAGATGCAAATATTTGTACACCATATCCGGATTTCGACAATTAATGTCTTTTCAGTGATGTTAGGAATCGAAACGGTATTTGGAAGGCCATATAATTTACCTCAATTTAGGATAGACTCTTGAATTTTGAAAGAGTCGAAATAGGATGAACGGATCATATAAACCCGAAGGCAAATATAATACAAGCCCAAACGAAAAAATATAAACAAGTCTAAATTGAAAACAACGTTCAAACCTATGATTGCGTTGCATAAAAACCGCAATTTTTATACGTGTGCATGCAAAACAAATTTCTTGGTATAGGTGTCTAGATACAGCACAAACAACATTTTCCAAAAGACCAAAAAATTGAAAGAGTATATTTTAACAAAACGCATTTGACTAGCAGGTCGCACAACGGATGTTCTTAAACTATGCTGACTGCCAATATATATATGTATCCAAGGTTGTTCAGTAACAGTGGAAGAATACCCGTTAGATCTAAAACAAAATAGAATAGTTGGCATGGTTGATGCATAGATTTTTAAAAAATGCAGCCTGTCGATGCACCCGTTATCTTACTCAATGGCGTTCATTGAATTCCCAGGATGTTTTTCTTTGTTCAACATTTTCTAAACGGAAAACCCAGTTTATAATGTTGGTAGTTTATTTTCTTTTTCTTATTTAAATGGACAACCATCCTTTCCTCCAACAATGTTGTCTTGATTTCTATGGAATAGATATTCTCTCAGTGGTCTTACATATACAAGTAGATAGAGTGATAACTTGGATGGCTTAAAAAGAGACAGAAGCATCAGTGGAGTTATTTCTTTGATAAAAGCACGGCAGATTTTCAATTTTTTTGCACAATTTATGAATATGATTAGGAAAACTTGTTGATTAAATATTTACTATACTATCATGTTTAAGCTGTGCAGTTTATATCGTCAATGCAAGCTTCAAGTACAATCGTTTTATAAGCTTTAAAATGGCTAAAATATAAAAAGGTATTTTAGTTATTTTGTGATTTGCTTTTTTTCTTTTCCCATTTTTGTCATTGTATGTTTTTTTAAATTTATTTCGTTGTGCAATAAAAATGTCTTGTTCATAGTTTATTGTAATAAAAATTACATAATCATTGTAAAATAATTCTCTTTTGAAATTTGATAATTTATAAAAACAAATTGAAAAAAGATATATGTAAAAAAAAACAAATATTATTTCATTTTAGCGTTCCACAAACTATCACAACAGACGAGTCTATGTATCTGCGTATTGTCCACTTGCTGCACAGAGAGGCTTGTCCGGTTGTTAGGGTAAAATTTGATGTTGTATTTCCACCACTTGATCTGAAAAGAATTCTTATAGAAAAACAGGGGATTTTATATGATGAAAAAGTACGGAAAATAACTACTGCACACTGGGATCTTATGTATCCGAAAACAGGTATACTTTAACACTTAACTTAGACTTCTTTAGGTTTTATGACCATAAAATGTGTTCCCTAAAATAAATCCAATATTTGATGGGTATTGGGTGATGCATGCGAGTAGCTTTAAATAAAATTGAAATATAACATTTGAATAAAATCAGCAGTCTATTTGGTAAAATGATTTTATTTGGGGCATTGGAACAACGAGTAACAGTGTGAAATTCTGTATATAAGCAATAAACAAATCCAATTAAAAAATAGAATTGAAGGAATTGCATGACATCAAAATATAATAAGACCGATTACTGTGAAAATGGCACAATAGGCGATTGGACATAATCAGCGAATATATAGATCAGAAGACTCTCCTGTAATCTAAAGATCTATGACCGCAAAACATGTATCTTGAGTGAGTTAAGACAGACACATCAGTTCAGTCAACCGATTCTTTATGGTCACATTCAAACCTTTGTAGTGTCGATTTCAATCGTTCTTCTTCATATCTATATTGGATCAGTGGTGTGGTTGTTTTGTTTGAGAAGAGTACATGTGTTTTTAGTTATTTAGGTTTCATTTGTTTTAGTTGTAGTTCCTTTTAGTGATATGTTATTTCTAAATGTAGGCGTTGTCTCTACCGATAAAGGTTTTTGTCATGATTAACCTTGTTTTTATTTCAAATTTTTACTTTTGATTGAACTGTAGGCTTAAAGAGTTTACATCTACGGATGGATTTATTTATTTTGATGGTGCCCCGACTCGAGACATTTATCAATTCGATATTTTAAGATACATAAATACTGGGCAAGTCAATAAAAATTCATCAAAGATATCAGACTTATATTTTGGTACGCAATGAAGGGTAAAAAAAGACTTTGCCTTTAAGGATATCCGTAATTATATGAGAGATGTGTGATAAATTTCCATGTATCTGTTCACCAGAAGTGGCCTGATACCATAACGAAGTTACAAATTTCATGGTTAGAAATATTTATATTTCATAATAATGTTAAAAGATGTAAAACATCAAAGTAAACACATAAAGCTGCGATATTCTGATTTTTGAGATTTTAGACTTTCTGAAAATGACCATGGTTTCAAAAATACTAAGCGGTAATAGCCCCAACAATAGCACTTTGTGTCGACGTCTGAAAAACAAGACATAGTTTTACAACTATGTGGTCTAGGGCGCTGGACACGGTGCAGACGGTGTTGCCACGACATCACAGACGCCAGAGTAAATTCCGCTAAGGGAAGAACAAAAATTTGCTAACGCAAATTTACAGATCTAACATTGTTGGGCTAAATTTGAAACGAATTATATATATATATATATAAGTCTGAAAATTACACCCAACAGTGTTAGAATTAGACTTTTATGCTGACAAATTTTTGTCCCTCAACGGGATTCGAACTCACACCTTTGATACACTACAGCACCAATCGCTTAGCCTCATGTCCAGCGCTCTAGACCACACGACCACATCCGCTATATAAAAATATAACTTCAATAGTCGTAGTCTTACCTTGTCACGTAAGGCGAATCTAGAGATAGACATAAGACATGTGTTTTTAAGCGTGTGAAGATGTTATATTAATATTTAATACACAATGTATTTGTTATTTGTCAGCAATCTAACTCAACAATTTTTAAATTTTATATATATATAAGTGCCTAAGAATGTAACTTTAACACACTAATGAGTGTTATAAAATTAGTTGTTATATTTTATATTATTCATGCAATATTTCGCTAAACAAATTAGCTTCATCAGGCGCGTGCAGCCAACCAGGTAAAAGTTAGAGGCTGTAAAGAAATGTTTGCAGCTCAATGTTAAATGTCTAGAAAAATATTTTTGCCGCTTATTGTACATAGCAATTCTTAAATCAAAACAAATAGTTGTTTTAGTTAAATAGAATGAAGTTCAGGATTCATTCCTTTGGTTTTGGGTAGAACTGTTTTTAATCTCTCTCATTAAGTCCATCAGGTTCGAGAGTACGTAGCTGATGTCAAAAGTTTGCCCTGTTCTTAAGAGGTGTCTCGTAATTGGACAGTTTCTTCCTTTTGTATAAAAAGACCGATGATTGTTAAGTCTGATGTTGAATTTCGTTTCTGTTTCACCAACATACTGCAGCTTGCAAGTTCCACAAGTAAGAATATAAATACTATTTTCCGTTTTGCAATTAGATGTAACATAGATGTTGTATCGCTGCTTTGTTACTGTGCCCCTGAATGAGTGGTCAGTGTTGGCGACTTTACAGCACTTACAATTGGTTCTTCCGCATTGTTTGTAACACCCAATTTTAGAAGTCTCTTGTTTCTTTACTTTAGATGTGACAAGTATGTCTTTGAGATTTTTGGGTCTGCGATAGGCAATAACAGGAGGTGATGGAAAAATTTGTTTTAAGGAAGAGTCATTTTCGATAAGACGCCAGTGCTTGCGGATAGTAGATGAAATATTTGTCAAATCGGGATGGAAGGTGACAACAAACGGAATTCGATCTGCGCGGGTCGTCTTATCTTTGTATTCCGAGGATATCTCGATCTTTTTCTTGGGCTTTATCAAAAGCGTCAGTGATGTTTTTGCTATAGTATCCTCTTGATTTTAGTTGTTTTTTTAGTTGTCCCAAACGATAGTTGAGTTTGGATTCCGAGGAGCAAATTCGCTTTAGTCTGATGGCTTGACTGTAAGGTATGCTCCTGGAGCAGTGTTTCGGGTGACAACTTTTTGGAGAAAGGAACTGGTGTTTATTAGTTATCTTTGTGTGGAGATCAGTTGTCATGACCCCGTTTTTAGCTTACCTGGCCCAGTGCCAAGTGATCTTTTCTCATCACTTGGCGTCCGTCGTCCGTCGTCGTCCGGCGTCGTCCGTCGTCGTCGTTAACTTTTTACATTTTGAACTCCTCTAGAGAACCACTGAATGGAATGAAACCAAACATGGCATGAATGTTCCTTATGAGGTGCTGACCAAGTGTTCTTACTTTGTAGCGGATCCATCATCAAAGATGGCCGCCAGCGGGGGACTTAGTTTAACATAGGACCCTACGGGAAATACATACAAATGTCTTCTTTTAGAGAAACACTGAATGGAATGAAACCAAACATGGCATGAATGTTCCTTATGAGGTGCTGACCATGTGTTGTTACTTTGAAGCTGGTCCATTATCCAAGATGGCCGCCAGCGGGGGACCTAGTTTAACATTGGACCCTATGGGAAATACATACAAATGTTTTCTTTTAGAGAACCACTGAATGGAATGAAACCAAAAATGGCATGCATGTTCCTTTTGAGGTGCTGACCAAGTGGTGTTACTTTGAAGCTGATCCTTCATCCATGATGGCCGCCAGATGGGGACAATGTTTAACAAAGGACCCTATGGACAAAACATACAAATGTCTTCTTTTAGAGAACCACATACTGAATGGATTGAAACCAAACATGGCATGAATGTTCCTTATGAGGTGCTGACTAAGTTTTGTTACTTTGAAGCTGATCCTTCATCCATGATGGCCGCCAATGGGGGGACTTCCTTTAACATAAGACCCTATGGGAAATACAAACAAATGCTTCTTCAAGAGGTGCACTGAATGGAATGAAACCAAAATATGGCATAAATGTTTCTTATGAGTTGCTGATGAAGTGTTGCTACTTTGTTGCCGATTTACTGTTCAAGATGGCCACCAGGATTTTTTATTAAATTACAGGACCAATATTAAACCAAATTTGGCCTCACTCATTATTAGGGTATCTGTTATGATTTTAATCTATTTTTACATGATTTCCAAAACCAAAGTAGAATCGGGTGAGAGACACAGGCTCTTGAGAGCCTCTAGTTTACAAATGTGGTGGTGTCGAGAAAAGCAATTTTCTCGCTTGAAAATTCAGATGAAAATTTAATTGAATGATGGAACTGATTACAATGATCTTAGAAATCTTGTAAATGTTCTGCAGTATCGTTCCATTTCATGTCAATATCATCAATAAAACGGAGCCATGACATTTTATATATATATAAAGTCAACTTTCTGATGAAAGATTTTATAAAAAATTAAGACTCTGACCCAACCCCTCAATTCAAAAAAGAGGTCACCACTAACTTGAAAATCATTTGTGAACAGGGTCATATTGATGAAGACACATTTGAATATCTTAAACCTGAAAAATGAAAGCCGGGGTGTTTCTATCTTCTGCCCAAAATACACAAAGTCAATAATCAAGTAGACCAATTGTTTCTACCAATGACCACCCTACTGAGAAAATATCAAAATTCATTGACTTTCATTTCAGACCACATGAAAAAAATATACCATCCTATATACAAGATACAACACACTATCGTACGAAAATAGAATCCTTGAACCCTTTCCCACCTGAAACAATCCTTGTCTCGCTCGATGTGACCTCTCTGTATACTAACATCCCCCATGACGATGGTATTGAAGCCTGTAGGGAAGTCTTGAACTCTCGCAACACCTTACACCCACCAACTGAATGTCTAGTCCAGCTTCTTACTTTGGTATTGAAATGCAATAACTTCACATTCAATGGTGAACACTTCCTCCAGGTTAATGGAACAGCAATGGGAACACAGATTGCTCCGTCTTATGCCAATCTTTTTATGGGCAAATTAGGACAGCAAAATCTCAATTCTTCTCTTTATCAACCTCTCTCTAATTCCGATTCATCAACGTTATTGACACGAAGTGAGATAATACTGAACAAGAACTCAATGTGTTCATTCAACATGCCAACGATGCCAATCTCTCAATGAAATTCACTTATGAAATCTCTGACTCTAAGACCACATTTCTTGACACTGCTACGCAAGTGAAGGATGAATCATATTAACAGATATGTATTGCAAGCCCACAGACAAACATCAATATCTTTCTCCTCGGAATTGTCATGCTATGTAATCCTAAAAATTGCACCAAGAGCAATCCCTACAGCCAGACCATACGAATAAAACGGATTTGCTCCACCAATGATACTGCAAAAAGGCGACCACAAGAACTTCGCGGTCACCTAAACAATCGGGACTAAAGAAGAAAAGACATTGGTAAAGGTTTCTCTCGTGCTAACAACATGAGCCGAGATGAACTTTTATAATATAATGACAAAAAGGTCAACAAAAGAGTGTCGTTTGTGTTGACTTACCATTCCAAATTTGACAAGTCATCACACCTTATCCGCGAAAATTGGAAAGCATCGAAAAACATCCTAAACTATTCAAGATCTTTTCCGAGCCACCTGTACTATCGTTCTGTAGGCTCAAAAGCTTTAAAGACTTGCTGGTGAGAGATGATTTATCCTCCCAATCAGGCTCTTCATCTGTTGGCTCTTGCAAGGAGGGCAGAAACAAACGATGGCCGACTTGCAAGCAAATACTGAATATCCAGACTTTTAACAGTTCAGTCACTCCACTGGTACGGAATACACCATATTTTACAATGTTAATTACAAGACTACAAACGCTATGTATCTTCTACAGTTTAAATGTGGTAAACAGTATGTTGGCGAGTCAGAACAGCTATTTCACAAACATATGAACAGCCATCGTAGCGACTATGAATGCTTGCAAGACCTTCCTCTCACTCGACATTTGAGATCCCCTGGCCACGCTAAGCCAGATCTCAATCGACTGACCATTACAATCATAGACCACAACACTGCTTGGTATAGGGATGATAGACTCACTCAGAAAATTAAAAACTTTGGCACCAAATGGGATCAATGAAAAGGTGTAGTTCTAATTCGCGCAGTGCTTTTCATTTGGGTTATATTACATATTACTACGTAGTCTTTGTTGCTATTCCATTACCTTTGTCAACTCTGAAATTCTAGAATTATACAGTTTAAATCGCAGGGTGCTATTAATTTAAGATGTATAAATACGCAGCCACGGTCAATTACTTAACCTTTGACAAAATTAAAAATTTTAGAAATTATCAAACTGCTGTTTTTGTGGGGTGTGTAAATACGCAGCCTCTGCTGTAATTACTTTACCTTCGTCAAATTTGAAATTTGAGTATTATACCAGCTCAAATAGGTCAGTGTTTTTCATTGGGAATGTATTTCTACGCAGTCTTTGTTGTAATAACTCAACTTTCGTCACTTGTGTAATTTTAGAAATGTACCAGTTCATATCGCACATTACTATTTTTGTTAGAAGCAGTCTCTATTGTAAATACCTTACCTACGTCATTTGTTTTTTATTTTAGAATTGTACAAGCGTTTTTTGGTTTTAATTGTATAAATTTAAATAATCTTATAGTTAAATCAGAATAGATTGGTACGATTCATTTTACATCATAATCATACTGATGAAGGATATCTGTTTTCCGAAATATTTATAAATACTTACATTTAATGTTTTCTTTTTTAGTATTGGTGTTGTTTTGTACACATTTTAGGCGTTTATATAATTTTTTTATTGTGTACAGGTATCGTTACCCGTAACGATCCAGCGCACTCGTAAGAAAGAGCGTTGACTAATATCTAGACGTTTTATATATAATATATATATGATATATATTAAAGGAGATGTGGTATGATTGCCAATGACAGTGGTTTAACTGTACCATATAAGAACAAACTATCAAAATCAGTTGAAAAGGGCTGTACTCATCAGATCAATACAAAGCAGAAAAACATCTAACAAAATTACAGACCGGACGTGGCAGAGTATACATCCAATAAAAAAGACACAAAGGACAGATCTGAGAATACTCGCAGTTACTGCCAGCTATCTATTATTCTTGCTTTTTTGTATTCTAATGTTGTTTTTTTTTTTGATAATGCAATAGTTCCTGATGATGGTAAATCCAAAAAAGAGCTTCGGATGCATAAAATGTGTCCACTACTGGTAGGATATCAGTCAATGATGCATATGATATCATTAGCTCAGTAGTCAGTACGACGGTACTGGCATGATTTATAACATAACTTTCTTAAATTGCCCGTTTATAAAAAAATGAAAACAACACGTTATAAATTTCATGCGTCCGAAGTGCTTTTTTGGATTTACCTTCACCAGAAAGCTCAAAGCCAAATATTTGAGAGCCAAGGATGTATAAGAACAGAAACAGTTATATAACTTGATAAATTGATCAATTATTAAAAACCTTCCTCAGTCAAAGTTGATGGATTTGGCTATTTTTATGTCCTTTTTGGTAATATTGCTCTTCAGCTGTTTCGGTTCCTAAACGTCATTTGTTTTCAAAATATTTGGCTTTCCTGATGAAGGTATATCCATAAAAGCACTTCTGGTGCCAAAAAATTATAAAGTGTTATTTTTCTATTACACTGACAAAAATTGTAAAGTTATTACATGTTTGAAAGAAATCCACCAGATTGCAATACTTGAAGGTATAATTCTAGAGTTTTAAAGTGTTGACCACATTTTGAACAAGAACTTGAAAAGTGTTTATTTAAAGATTTACGTTTCATTGGCATACATTTTTCATAGACGCCTGTTTTTTATTCGACATGATGCATTCATTAAAAAATAACATTTCTTTTTATTAAAAAAAAGAATTACATTAATTTTGTAAATTCTAGGGCTTCCAAAATCCACAAATTTTAGTTTGCAATTGATGACTCAGTTGATGTGGATTGCCCGCAAAGGGGACGAAACATTATCTCGAACAGAATGGCGTGCAATAGAAGATCTTGAAAAATATGTATATAAAATAGGACAAAGTGAAGGCTGTCTGGACTCTGTAAAATTTGAGAAATACTGGAATGAAATTGTAAAGGTACACACTGTTTATCTTAATTTATTCCTTACAAAATTAAATAGTTCATTTAGTTTGCATCAACGAAGCGCTTACTGACATGATTTTTTAGATCCTGGTTTGTTTCGAAGGAATACCATGCATAACAAATACATATTATGCTTACCTAGGATAGGTAACAACAAATAAACTAAATCACATGGTATATTCTAAAACTTCAATGAACGTATAAACTGCTTTAGAAAAACAACATTTGTCAGAAAAAAAGTTCTAAGTACCGTTTTGAAAGATAACATCGGCCTTTTCTATGAATTGGAGAGCAGATGATTACAAAGGGTTAACAACTATTTCTATTTTTTTAATTGGATGCTGTCCAGTTTAAATTTGATTATGTGGTGATTTTTTTCTTAAGAGTTATTATTGAGACCCATCATTCCTTTACGACGGGTTCTTGGCTCATATTAGCTTTTATCAATTGTACAATTACATTATTTTTATAGGCCATAATTTAAGCTTTGAAATACAAAAAGTATTAAGGGTATATTTTCTTATCTCAACAATAAGTAAAAGAGTAGCTGGGTTATTTAATTAGTTAGCAACCCTACGATAAAAACACCTTCAACAGAATTACAGATCAACATACGGTTTGCATCAATACTTAAGTGTCCTTATAGTATGTCAGCCCTGGATACACCGAATTCTTTGGAAAATTCGTGTCTAATTTTTACAAACACCACCGAAGAAATGTCATCGATAGAAATGTCAATATTTACAAAACAAAACGATATACCTAGCACAACCACATACAAGGTTTCTCAATAGCCGAAATCGTTAGTCAAGTTCTTTTAGAAGTTATTGCCCTTAAATAACGATTTTAACTATTTTGGTTTGTTTCTTTGTCTATAATCATGAAACCATAAAAAAAACAGCATAGAGAAAATATATTGAAAGCAAAAATAATCGGCTCCTTTTATTGTCCTTAAATGGTTATTTTAGCCTATTTTTGACGTTTTTAGTTAGTTATAAAATCGGAAATTGTGATAGATGGAAACAAGGAATGAGTTGTCAAATTGACAGCAAACTGTGTTTTCTGTATTTAGAAGGCGCTTTTGGGTTTGTTTGACCTGCCACGTTCTATGCATATACATAATTCCTAAACAGCAAAAGTGAAAATCGTCAATATCGAACTAGACCTTTTTATGAGTTTTTTCTATTCAATGACGATAATTACGCATATTTTGTGAAAACATGATGTATTTAGAGACATTTAAAGAGTCAGAAATAATCAGACAAGATCTACTCATAATTCATATTGCCCAAATCGTCGGTAAACTATTTAAATGATCAATTTTCCTATAAAAAAAAAGAGCAGATACAGAGCGGGTAATCAAAAATCAAAGTATAATAAAAATGTTCAATACCATGATCAAAACGAAAAGCGACAAAAGAGTAAAACAATAATAACAACACATTACAAAGAAAGCCAAAGATTGGGCAACACGAACACTACCAAAAACCGGAGTTGAACTCACATGCTGCAGAATAGTGTGTGTCATATCCTGTGATTAGCACTCTTACATTAAATTTAGCGGATTGATATATGTCACTTGTCTAACTATAATACATCATCAAATGTAATAGTTTCAAATGTAAACCAAGTTTCAAAAAACAAAGGATGAACTAGATTTTACTCTTTACAGACAACGCAGACATTAAAAAATAAAATAGCCGGATAATCGAAACTAAAGCAAAAGCAAGATTAACCTTGAAATTAAAACAACGAGTGAATACAGGAGCTCTGGAATGGTAAGCAGTTCATGTTCCACTAGTGGAAACCGTCTTGGTGCTTATGTTGTAGAAATCCGCTGATGAGTCGCAATCGTAATTGTGGTTTGTTTCTAGGCTATATCTCATTTCAGGGATGTCGCTCTTTGAATGTCAAATATTTATTCCCAATATAATCGAATTTTATGCGACTGTCATACAAGCGAGAGGTTTATCTAGCTATAAAATCAGGTTTAATCCTCCATTTTCTATATAAGGAAATGCCAATACCAAGTCAAGAATATGACCGTTGTTTTCCATTCGTTTGATGTGTTTGAGCTTTTGATTTTGCCATTTGATAAGAGACTTTCCAATTTGAATTTTCCTTGGGGTTCGGTATTTTTGTTATTTTACTTTTTAATGAGATTGTAGCTGAGAAGCACTCACTCATTTGAAAAACTATCGATAATCTATCAATATCAATCGGTCTTAGATAACAGATTATACGTCTCCAATATATTACCCTAGTATCTACCATCGGTAGACATTGGAAAAAAAAAGAAAATTAAATTTGATGAAAAACGATTTGCAGACAAAGTTGACGAAAAGTTTTCTCTGTATTCATTTTTGTTAAAAACAAACTTTTGATTATTATTTTTTTACAGATTGTAGGTATTATTGGTGGACAAAATTTTAAACGAAGTACAGCATATTTACACGCGACAAGATAAAAATTAGGGAATGACAACAGTGTGTTAATTACTTGTCTGAAGGATTGTGTGTGGATTGAAAGAGACCTTATTTACAAGATATCTATTGTATTTTATCATCTATAAAGACGTTATTCCTTCTTTTGCGTAGATATGTTATTTGTGATGTATAACGGCGTAAGTCCTGACTGATCATTTAATTTTAAAATTGTATATGAATATAGATGATATTTCATTTACAAACATTGTGTGTGTAATAAAAACAAACACTTATAAATTCGATGTGTCCGGGATCCGAAGCAGTGAAACTGGTTGTACAGTTAATATGTGATGTGACGGTGTTTCGTATATATTTTTTTTTCTAAATTGATACCCTTGCTGACATTTGATTTGTTAATTTATATACTTGGCCAATCTACTGATTGTTAAACGTGCATTCATTTATTTCATTTAATAACTACAGGAAAACATAGAAACTAGAATGTGTCTGCAAATAATACTTTACACATGTGATGCGTCTGAAGCGCTTCTCTTGATAAATCTTCGTTAGAAAAGCCCAGACCCAAATATTTGAAAATAAAGAATGTGCATGTACATAAACACATGCAGGAAAGGAACCTTAAACGATATTGCTATTAAGATTTTCATTAATTTCAATGTGATAGGATTCTGCTTATCATCATAGGTTTTCTTCCTGATAGGTAAGCCCGATGAAATAAGCTATTGTACCGGTGATTTTGATTGGTCTTTCAACAAATCACCATTAGAAGTATTAACTCACTAGAAGTCGCTTGATCGTTGCAAAGCTTGATGTACAAAGGTGAATTCAAATTTTAGATTCGAAAGACAAGCATTTTCGTTATTCGATACGAGTAAAATCCTAAATTGAAAGTAATTAGTTTCCAGTCACTTGTAGTTAAATGATCAACCAAGAAGTGATAGAGGCATAAAACGTTCAATTTATGATACACGGTTGAAATTAAGTAATTCGAAAGCAGTTATTGTTGGCAAGGATCCTTGAAATTTTTGCTTTATGGAGAACGTTTCTGTATTTGTCTGAAGTTTGGATAGTAAATTTACTCTGAAATCTCTCTAAATTTTTTGCGTCACATACAGGAGAAATAGGTACATTACTATATTAAAATGACAATTCACTGAAGTTTTAAATACAGATTATTTGTGAAACGTAGTGGTTAGCTTATTCAAGTCCAGAGAAGAAAAACATACGCCTTAGAGACATTCAAAATATATTTAATGCAATGCAAGATATCATATAGATTGATGAAACAAAGCTAGCTTTATTTATTTTTGCGTTTTACTATTTTGATGGCGTCCTGTCGCTGCAAACTTAGAGTATTTTCATATCCTATGATAACTCATATCATAGATACAAATAAGAAAACTTTTCATAAAAACATATCTTGTTATGATCACTGTGACCTGTGTCACTATATACTAGCTAGTGGGGCAAAAACAATAATTACACTGGTTACATTAGGTAACAGAAGCCGAGTAGTCAGCACTTTTGTTTTTGCATGAAATAACATTAATACGGTCTTTTTCTGTAAATTTACCATTTGTATAATGCTAGATATTATATCTTTCTACTCCAGGACAGGAAAATACTAACTGGCATTTGGGACAATTTTTGAAGTTTTTTGTTTCCAATGCTTTTCAACTTCGTATCTGATTTTTCCTTTTAACTGTTTTGATTCGAGCGCTACTCCTGAGACTTTTTAAGACGCAACGCCCGTCCAGCGTCTCAAATTTTTAGTCCAGTATTATTTGTTAGTTTTTTAAGTAAGAAACAGCCTTCAATTCTCCATTGTAGATGGCCTTGTTACTTGATTTTACCAGGAGTATTGCGACTTATATGTATTATTTAAAGTACGTATTACCACGGCTTTCATTAGTGACTCGTAGGTAAAAAAGATAAATGTCAATAATACCACGCTTATCGTTTATTACGCAAGACGTGCATTTCGTCTACATAAGATGCGCTCAAAACAAAACAGATGGAGACCACACCTGAACATCTGCCATTTATACTAAAAACCTTTTCTTTTTTATCCCATTCGCACGAAGTTTTATTCACTACCCTTTCAAAACTTAATTTTCCGTACAACTTAATTATGTTTGGAAACCACTGTCACAAACCCCCATTCATTACAATACAAACTTATAGCTATCATCTCGGATATTGCCAGTCACAGACTCTTCAAACCAGTTCGCACTGGAAAAGATGAAACGGAGAAATGATCCTTTCTGTAAAACTTTTCTTTGCCAATAACCGTCTCGATGCAATCGACATGGGCAAAATCCTTCATCATATATCAGTTCATTTGAAAATACCTCTCTATTTTAAAGATCAGTCTGTACCTATCATTTCTTATACCTATACCAAACCAAATGCAACCAAAATTTAAAATTGCAAACACTTGTTGCAGGATATCAAAGTTGACGAATTCAAGTCTAAAACCCCTGATTTCACCTGTGTTCCCAATTCATATATCAACCGACTAGCAACGTTATTACCAGTGACCTATGCATTGTCAATAACCCTTCTCAGCGAAATGTGTAATCGAAAGGCCCGAAATATCGTGAGCCTTAATCCATCTATTGGAATAAGGCAATGGGTTTAACTCGAGAAAAAAAGACGTAGACAATCTTTCCGAATGGATTAAGGCTGTGAGGTCGTTGATACAAATCCGATTTAAAAAACTGAATTGGTCTGTGAATACACATTGAAGACCCAAATGTTGCAAAGACCCTGTCCGACCCCGCAGATAATGCCCCACATAACATCGTTTTTGTGTGTTACATGTAATCACATTACACAAACTGCTTGATGAATTATATATTAATTGATAATTCCTTGGAAACTCAACGACACTCACAAAGGAGGAAATCCTGGATAATCCAAGGATGAAGAACTGAATCTTCCTTTACTGTATTTAATAACTAAATTAAATAAATCACCCAAACATAAAATTCTCTGAAACTGACATTTTCAAGAGTCTTAATGCAGTATTGACAACATAATTGCTACGTTTAATGAACGGATTTTTCAGCAAACAATCGGCATTCCCGTTGGACACAACTGTGTCCCTTTTTTTGCCGACTTTTTCCTTAATTCATATGAGACTAACTTCATACAGGAGATTCTTAGAAAGAAAAAAAAAGAAGCTAGCATTATCCCTTAACTTTGATTTCCGCTATATCAAGGATGTCCTCTCACTAAATAATTTAAAGTTAGGTGACTACGTTGAACGTATCTATCCCATCGAACTTGAAATAAAGAATACAACAGATACAGTTAAGTCTGCCTCATATTTTGACTTCGATCTAGAAATTGACAATGAGGGTTTAACTTGGTTGAAAACAAAACTTTAAGATAAAAAAGATGATTTCAGCTTCCCAGTGGTAGCAACATTCCAGCAGCTCCTGTATATAGAGTATATATCTCCCAGTTGATACGATATTCCAGGGCTTGCATTTCATATCATAATTTCCTTGATATAGGGTTGCTGTTCACAAGGAAGGTATTTAACCAAAAGTTCCAAGGGGAGAAGTTGAAATTATCCCTTCTAAAATTTTACGGACGCCAGCATGAGTTTGTTCACTATTATGGAATATCTGTTTCACATATGACGACGAATATGTTCAAATCGTCGACAGTCTATAACCTGATCCTGTTTTCTCCGAATGTGACCTACCGAATTAGACTTATCACTGTGGTTGTATTTACATGAGCAACACGACGGATGCTACATTTGGAGCAGGCTCTGCTTATCCTTCCGGAGCAACTGAGATCACCCTAGGTTTTGTTGTTTGTCTTTTTGGTCATTTTGCATTATTTGCCATGGCATTGTCAGTTTTTGTTTTCGACTTACAGGTTTGAGTGTCATTTTGGTATCTTTCGCCTCTCTTTTTTTAGCCGTTCAAAATGAAAAACAACATTTTTTCTCCAATCTTTTTATGTTGTTGCACTTCTTGTTTTGTAGATCACTATACTTACATACGTAAAACTTAGAAAATGAATTCCATTACTTTTTATTATTCTGCTTCTGCTTACTAATAGATGAAAACGTCGCAAAAACGACTGAATTTGCAATTTTACTGAACATCACAATGTATATTTACTTTATTACAAAACATACTGACACGTCTTATACTCCTCGTATCTACATATACAATGAAAAGAAGAGGACCATTAAGGTTCTAAATTGGCCCAACGATACTCAATGAATTATTTCATCAGACATAAAAATCAGAACAAATGGAACGACATTAACAACGATGTATACCAATGAACCATTAGTTCAATTGATAAGTGGCAAGAATTCACTGATGTTCTCATTATTGATTATTGAGTTACAGAACATCATTAATATACCTGAAAGTGAAATTAAGAAACATGTTTGCAAGATGCTGGTGTTTGTCTTTGTACAAAACTCACAAATATGTTTCCGCTATAAAAAAAAGTCCAGCATTTTGATAATATCATCTATGTATGTCTTGTTCTTGAGTGTGGTTCTTTACAACGCAAGATTTTACATGACTCAAAATAAAGAAACCAGCCTTTAGAATTGAAGTCTTTGGCAAGAGGTTTCGTGGAACATTTGACACAGTCACTATTGTATTGATCTCTTTCTGATATCTAAAGATTATTCGAAAATTTTGAAATGTTGTGGGATTACTTTTTACAAGGTAAAGGCTTCAGTGTCTGCGTTTCCCTCTTTACATGCTACATTTTGACGGATTTCCACCACAGTCAATATGCATGAAGAAGTTGTATTTTTCTGGTGTAAAAAAGTGCTACTGAATATGAATTTGAGTTTATATGAAAGATGATGCAGGCATGAAATTTGATACTTTAATCAATGTTTGCTGTCATCCCGAATCGATTATATTTCATGAGATAATCATTGTTATTATCAAAACGTAAAAAGTTGAAACCGAAATGTATCATCTGACATGTGTGTTCACATTTTAGAAGTAGATGTAAAATTTCCAGGTTTCCCTGACTGCTGATGGCTTTCCATACCACATGTTAGATAATTGTTTATTCCATTATTCTCCTATTGCCAATGTTTTAGAATTAGGTTTATCTACTCGTTAATCTGTTCGCATTGTCTTATTTGTACCCATTTTTCATTTTTCATTTGATTTTCATTATCCACTATTATTGGGGTTATTGTATATATATTTTATTTATCTCCTCTTAATCGAAGTCTATATATACAAATGAGATTTTTATAGGAGACTTTTTTAACAATATAAAAAGATGTGTTATGATTGGCAATGAGACTTTCCACCAGAGTCAAATTAACGTTGGTTTTAACAACTATAGCGAACTGCGCTGCCTTAAACAATTACAAGAAAACCATACAGTATAATCTGCTATATAAAAGGCCTTAACATGAAATGATGT